TGGAGCTCTTCCGATCTATGGAAATTTGACAAACACTTGCCTGGACGTTTTGCGCCGTCACTACAATCTGGTAGGCTCTGAGATCTTTGAACACAAACGCAGGATGGAATGGAGTGACGTGGAAATTGTTGAAAAACTTGTGAAAGAAGTAAATAGATCGGAAGAGCCCTGTTATTCATAATGGGAGCCGAGGGGGAGAAATTCCTTTTATATACTAGTTAAAATATGAGCAGCTGATCTTTATTACTGTTTAATAAACGAGTAGGAGTGTTTTATCACATATAAAGAGACGCCACGCTTATGATTTCTCTTTGTGTTTTCCTCATGAATTATTAATGAGTTTTAAAGTACTATTTAAAACATGAGCAGCAGTGTTTTATCAGATGTAATGATACGAGGCGAAGCCGAGTATCTTTAGGTCTGATAAAACACGCACTGCAAATGTTTTAAATTGCATAAAAAACGATGGATCTAGTAAGTTCAGTGGCGAAGTAATTTTCAAAAAATACGTTGTGTAAGTCGAGAAAATCAAAGTTAAAGTTTATGTAAATCAAGGGAAATCATTATCAGATACAGGGTGTATCATGTTAAAATTTGAATGCCTTTTCAATTGCACATATGCTGAACCGTGGTGCGTGAAATATTGATGGAGTGCATATATTAGGCCCCGTTTACATGAGACCGGGACGAAGTCAAACCGGAATGAAAATTGAAATTGTCAACATGTTTACATGAGACCGGTACGAGGATCACAAAATCTTCAATTTATTTCCCTTGCCAGGCAATTTTCTTTTTCAGGTGGCTTTTGCTAGCATGTGTTGTTCCAATGTCAAGATTACAGCCGAGACCGGTCTGAAATGTATTTGTAGAGAGGTTAAGATACCCCGGTTCCGGTTTACGGGTACGGGTGATATACACGTACCCGTACTCGTAAACCGGGGAACGACTTGTAACTTAAGAAATCCAAGATATTCCGGCGTGCGTAAACCTATCAGTGAATGGCAACTTTCGCTGTTGAGGTTCGCCATAGATTGTTGAAAACTTTGACAAGCATAAGTGCATCATTTATTTGGGTAAGATGTTGAAAATTTGTACTATTTAAACGGCCCACAAATAGTAAACACAAAACACCCGTACCCGTTTGCCTTTTACGTGTAGACCATGGTTTACCGCGGGGAAACGGGTAGAAATCACGGGTAAAAATGCTGACATCAGCAAAAATTGGTAAACAAAATGGCGATACTCGTACCCGTAGACCGGAACCGGGGTATCTTAACCTCTCTTGTGTTTACATTCATCCCGGTCTGAATTCATGCCGGTCTGAAGTCAGTCGGTTCGGTCCAGAAGGCGGAATGACTTGAGACCGGTCTGAGTTATTTTCGTCCCGGTCTCATGTAAACATCTATTATAGATAATACTATGACCGAAACGAGATGGTCCCGGTTTGACTTCGTTCCGGTCTCATGTAAACGGGGCCTTAGAAAAAGGAGACCTTTAGAAATCAACCATTGTTATAATTTGAATCCTGCATAGATCCAAGTATTCGTGGTAAAATGGTAAATGGTCAAGTTGCAGTATAGAACATTGCATGTGAGGAAGCCGAGCTTTAAAAAGCTATGGTGACCATGGCATTTTAAAACTTATGCATTATCAAAATTTTTTTTTTGAATATTCTACAAGCATTCCAAGAATGTGACGCTTGGGCGCGAAGCCAACATCGGTGCTGCTTGACGTATATACGAAACTAAAGTTATTTTTTATATAAAAGAAGTCACAATATGTGAAGTGCATCGTTTTAAGACGTAGAGGCCTGTAAAACTTATATCGTGATTAAATAAATTATTATTATTATTATTATTGGCATTTCCTTATATTCTGTTCTCAATTGTCTTTTCCTTTATTCTGTTGTTGCCCTATGTTGTGTGTTTATGTGCGAAATTGTCGGCGGGGTCATTTGACCAATTCGCCTGGCAGTGTTTTCCACCATTATATAAGCAAGCCACAAAGGCAACGGTGTTTTGAAAACAAAGTACTTAAGGAACTGTTTGTTTTGATGTTAGGTACTTGTAGTATAAGAACGTTATGTACCGCTTGTGTTAAGGAACTTCGGTCATTTTGTTCCCAAGCTGAAAATTCACGAATGACCAAAATGAAATCACTACAAGATCTTACCAATTTAATACAACAGGACTCAACTGGCAACGACTCAATGATGAATGATTAAAGCTAAGTATCAGACGTTTTCATTGACTATATCATATGTTTGTTTAATTGATGTCGAGTAAACACGAAGTCAATGTACATAAGTCAAATTTTCGTGAACTACCTTTCTACGGTATATATAATGATTTCTTTCTGACTAGCAGACCTTCAACTGAAAGACAGTTAAATAAGCTTACAAGTATTTATGATCTTGACATATTTAATCTAAATATACGATCAAATTCTAATATTAACCCGGATCAAAATGTGATGAACAACCATATTCATTGCAAATATTATTCTCCTGAGAATTTTACTAAAATCAAAAAGGGTAATCATCGTTTATCAAATAATCATTTCTCTTTATTTCATAATAATGTAAGTAGTTTAAGAAAGAACTTAGAACATTTACAAGTTCAAATATTAGACGAATTGAAATGTCCTTTTAGTGTTATTGGCATCACAGAGACACGCATTAAAGATACCAACTTAGATGGTTTTAATTACAGCATCCCTGACTACTCATTTGAATTTGTTCCAACCCCTTTAGCTGCTGGAGGGGTTGGAATGTATATTAATAATGAATTTAGTTATACTGTTATTGAAAAATCTGCTAATACAGCTTATCAAGCGCTTTGGATTGAAATTATCATTCCTAACAAAAAAAATATTATATGCTGTGTCGTATATAGACAACACAATTCACCTGAGACATTCCAAGCGTATTTTGAACAAAAAGTAGAGCAATACACATCAACAGGCAAATATGTGTTTATCATGGGTGATTTCAACATAGACCTATTAAAACTTGATAGGTGTAATTATGCACATAATTTTTTATTATATTTACAAAGCTGTTCAATGATCCCTAGCATCGATAAACCCTCGCGCGTCCATGGGGAATCAGCCACGTTAATTGACAACATATTTATTAATAACCCTTCCAATGTGTTAGTTAGTGGGAACATAATATCTGATGTAAGCGATCATTTTTCACAATTTTGTATCCTAGATTCTATTACCGTCAGACAAAACATCCAAAAACGTAAATATCGTGACTATTCATCATTCTCCGATACTTTATTTAACCAAGAACTTTCAGAGATAAATTGGGATTTTGTCGTAATGGAACCAGAGAATAATCCTAACAAGTTATTTTCGACTTTTTTTAATAAAGTAAATAAACTAATAAATAAACATGCTCCTATCAAGACCATTTCTAGCGTAAAGCAAAACAATTATCCAAGCCATGGGTAACTAGAGGAATAAGGGCATCTATTAAAGTTAAAAATAAGTTATTTCACACAAATAATGTAACTCAGTATAAAATATATAGAAACTATATTGTTACTTTACTCCGAGCCAGCAAAAAATTGTACTATGAAAAATATTTCAACTTGAATCACACAAATATGAGTAAGAAATGGGAAGGAATGAGGGAAATTTTGGGACGTAGCCGTAATAATAAAAATAATATTGGTGCCATGCGACAGGATCCTACTTCTCGATTAACATTTGATCCTAAAAATATATCCAACATCTTGAATAAACATTTTGCTACATGTGGACAAAGATTAGCTGCTAAAATGCCACATTCTGAAAAACATTATTCTGATTACCTTCAACATACAAATAACCTTAACTACACATCTCAACTAGATTCATTTGTTTTCATTCCGATAACTGAAAGAGATATTGAAATTGAAATTATCACACTACCAACCAAAAAAGCTGAGGGTTTATACTCATGCCCTTCGAGGATTATTAAATGTGCAAAACACATTCTGAGCAAACCTTTGGCAGATATTTTTAATCGGTCGATTGAAACTGGAATTTATCCTAATAAACTCAAAATTGCAAAAATAATTCCAATTTACAAAGCGGAGGATGAAACTGAACCGAATAATTACCGACCCATATCCCTTTTATCGGTATTTAATAAAATTTTTGAAAAAATCATGTATAAACGTTTAGACAAATACCTAAATATGAAAAATATCTTGTGTCCCTCACAATATGGTTTCCGTCAACAACATTCTACACAACATGCCATTCTCGACATTGTTAACAAAATCCAAACTAACATGGATAATAAACTTTATTCCTGCGGTATATTTATAGACTTGAAGAAAGCCTTTGATACGGTAGACCACGATATACTGTTGGGTAAATTAAATCATTACGGTATTAGGGGAGTGGTAAATGACTGGTTCTCTTCCTACTTAAAAAACCGCTCTCAAACAACTGTGATTAGAAACTGTGTATCTGATAGAGAAACCACTTTGTGTGGAGTACCTCAAGGATCAGTCCTTGGGCCTCTACTTTTTTTAATATACATAAACGATATTTCGGAGTCATCAAACGTTTTTAATTTTTTTCTTTTTGCGGATGATACCAACCTATTATATGCTAATAAAAACTTGAAAACACTTGAATCTGTTGTAAATTCTGAATTGAATAATGTTTGCAAATGGCTTAATGCCAACAAACTGACGCTTAATATAAAAAAGTCAAATTTTGTTATTTTTCGCCCACACCAGAAATCAGTAAATTATCATCCAGTAATTAGCATGTATGATAATAATTCTAAGCAATACACACCACTCGAATGCAAAGAATATATTAAGTATCTTGGTATCATTATTGATTGCCACTTAAGTTGGAATTATCACATTGACTATATTGCATTAAAGATTAGTAAAAATGTTGGGATTATCTCAAAATTGCGATATTTTATTCCAAATCATACTGTACTAGATATATATAGGTCCTTAATTTTACCTTATCTTTCGTATGGACTGTCTGCATGGGGAAATGCTGCCAAGTTTCACATTAAGAAACTTCTTATATTACAAAAACGCGTTTTACGTCTGATGTATTTTAAATCATTTGATAATCATGCAATTCCCTTGTTTGTTTCTTCAAATTCTCTTCCTATTAATATGATGTATATCAAAGAATCTGCTAACATGTTATACGATATATCAACCGGAGACTCGCCAACAACTCTACAAGAACTTTTCAAAAAAACATCTGAGGTTCATAATTATAATACAAGAGCGGCGAAGAAAGATAATTTTTATATAAAATATTCTCGCCTAGAGCTTCAGAAATGTTCGTTTTCTCGACTTGGTGCGGAAATTTGGAATAGTATTGACCAGGGCCTTCGCTCAAAAAGTAAAAAGATATTTAAACACAAAATGTGCCAGGCCCTCTTTACAATTCTTACAACTGAGAATCACTATGTTGATGTGCCCATGATAATAGCAAGATTGCCAATTGTAACTATGATGGTTTAAATTACCTTAAATCCTTTGAGATAGAATACTAGATAAGGATGTTTCAGCTGCTTGCCTTTTTCTCTGTAATGCTAGATCTGTAATACTGTAATTAAAATTACAATATTTTTTTCATAATCAATTAACTTTATATACTTTCCTTCACTTATTTGTAAAAATATTTTTCTAAACTTACTTAAACTACCTACATTTAAATTCATTGCCTGCCACGACTAGCTTCGCTACTTGCAGGTAATGCAACATATAATTTTTTTGTAAATTTTTGTAAACATTAAATTACATTAAATTATTATTAAACTTATAATGGCAAACAGTTCTCTTAAAAGACTTTGGTTTACTTAATGCTATGTCCATATTAGCATATATAATGCTATGGTCGCAATTAGCAGGTGGACTTAACATGCCAGTTGAGATAAAATGCCCAGGGGAATCAGTTATAATCAAATCTAAAATAGTTCCACTGGTCAAACTAATGCAAGTGGGTTCATCAATTAGCTGGTATAAATTATTACTGTCTAAAAAGTTATAAAGCTTAACACCGACATCTGTTCAATGATGAAGTAACAGAATAATTATAGTGAGCATTAAAGTCACCCAAAACTATTACTGTTGAAAAATGTTTAGACAGATTAATGGAGTCAAGACTTCCTGAAACGAATTTAAAAATAAATCTAATTCATCAGAGGATTGGTTTGGAGGCCTATAACAAACACCACAAAGCAATTTTACTCGACCAGTTACAGACCTCTCAACTTTGCAGAGAAGTTAAGAGTGAGATTGAAAAAAAATTTTCCGGAAAAATTATTTCGGCGACCTCCCCCCCTCACCCCCCCCCGTCGCCAAAAAAATTTCGGTCAGTGTACCATTTTAGGGGTCAAAAAAATTTTCCGGACAACCAATATTTTTCCAAACATACACAAAATTTTCGAAAAATCACAAAATTTGCCAAAAAATTGACTTAATTTTAGACAAAATTTATAGAATTTGTCACATTTTTTTTTATTGCAACCCAAAATTGCCCGACTGTTGATCAAATATTGCCCGACTGCCCAAAAAACTGTACCGAAATTTTTATGTAATATACCAAAATTTTTATGCGTTAGATTTACTAGACGTGGCATGAGAGAGAGCGTGAGACTGAAGCGAATTGCGTGAGACTCACGCCGAATGCGTGAGAATTGAGAGGTCTGGTGTGAGAGCGTGAGACTGAAGCGAATTGCGTGAGACTCACGCCGAATGCGTGAGAGTTGAGAGGTCTGCAGTTATAACTTCAGCCCACAGTATCTCACTATAAGGAGATTCTAAATCTAAACGCCTAACAAAGGATAAATAACCAGCTATATATAAAGAACGCTACCTCCACGAGTTATAGATCGATCATACCTCAAAATATTATAACCAGGAATTGAAATTTTTCATTAGACACATTAGAGTTTAGCCAAGTCTAAGAAAATGCAAATAAACTAAAATTACATTGCCGAGCGATGAGGGAAATTTCACTGAGTTTATCTTGATTATTTAAACTTCTCGCATTAAGATGGGCAATAGAAAAATTAAGTGCCACAGATAAATTGGCTGTAGCTTGTTCCTCTAAAAGGTTTATACCGTCTGGTATAGCAATCTCAGACAAAGTTAATGTGTCTTCTGCCATAGAATCATTTAAATCAGCTGGGTTTGTAATCTGATCCAAAGTTTCCAAATGATTATTATGTTCAAGACCAACAGGAGCTGATGATATTTTAATAAACTGCCGGAACATGTTATGCTTCACACATTCGCAGTAAATTAAATCTAATAAATGCTGCCATGCATTAATTTCACAATGCAGTGGATCTGGTCGAACTCTTTCTGCAAACACCCCAATTTTAGGTGTCCCAAGTTGGCGCATCCCATTTTCAGTCATAAAAGCAAGCATTTTCTCATGACGAGTACTGCTTTTAATATTAGTAGCTAGAGAACTAATAAAAACATTTACCTTCTTTGCATGCTCAGCACGCAGGTCGTTTGTGTACGGTGTCCAAGTATCATTGTGACCGAGACCAATT